TCCCTCTCTCCCTCTCTCCCTCTCTCCCTCTCTCCCTCTCTCTCTCTCTCTGGGAGCCAGGATTTGTGTCTGGGGACTGGAATAATAACTAGATGTGAAGAGCCTCATTTTACATCTCTCAATGGAGGAGAACGAGCCAATGAGCTCAGCATATTCCTGTCCAAAGCCAAGTCATTAGGAACAGCGTTGCGCTACCGTGTCGTTCGGAAATTACCAGGGAGGAAACAGGGAAGCAACCGGTGATTATAAGCCGTAGCGTGAATTCATCCCAATCAAAGTCTGCTTTCCTTTTCAGATCATAGAGCCAGATTTTTATCTTTTCAAACCGGTTCCCCTAAACCACATGGTCAAAGCCAGCTCTCAATTGGCTCACTGGAAATTTCTCTCTTTTTAAAAAAAGCAAGATACAGGTCGCCCCTTCCCAGCTCTTGACTTCTTGTTCTTGTATGGGGGTCTCCTAGGGTTGCCACCCCCAGACGGGGCCTGGAGGTCTCCCGGAATTATAACTGATCCCCAAGACTACAGAGATTGGTTTCCCCAGATAAAATGGTGACTTTAGAAGAAGAAGAGATTGGATTTATACCCTGCCCTTCACTACCTGAAGGAGCGTCTTACGAACTCCTTTCGCGTCCCCTCCCCACAACAGACACCCTGTGAGGTTGGTGGGGCTGAGAGAGCTCTGACGGAAACTGCTCTTTTCCAAGGACAGCTCTTGTCACAACTGTGCAAACCAAAAGAGAGAGAGACCACAGGATGGAAGTTGAAAGGAAGCAAACAGCCATGATGTAACGTGCCAAAAAAAAGTTCTTAACCAACTTGTAAATTCTTTTTACAGCATTCAATTTACTGGAAGTGCTTCAAACGCCATCAACACCAACCTCTCAGGGAATTTATTTACTGCACTCTGGAGGATCATAAGGACATAAGAGAAGCCCATGTTGGATCAGGCCAATGGCCCATCCAGTCCAACACTCAGTCACACAGTGGCCAAAAATACCAGGGGCCATCAGGAGGTCCAGCACTGGGGCCAGGACACTAGAAGCCCTCCCACTGTTGCCCCCCCAAGCTCCAAGAAGACAGAGCATCACTCACCCCAGACATAAGAACATAAGAGAAGCCAGTGTTGGATCAGGCCAATGGTCCATCCAGTCCAACACTCTGTCACACAGTGGCCAGAAATACCAGGGGCCATCAGGAGGTCCACCAGTGGGGCCGGGACACTAGAAGCCCTCCCACTGTTGCCCCCACAGCACCAAGACTACAGAGCATCCCTTGCCCCAGATCAAGAGTTCCTATCTAGACCTTGTGGCTAATAGCCCCTGATGGACATCTGCTCCATATAAGAACATAAGAGAAGCCAATGTTGGATCAGGCCAATGGCCCATCCAGTACAACGCTCAGTCATACAGTGGCCAAAAATACCAGGGGCC